CATCACATCAACAAATATAACATTTACTTTAAAGAAACACAAATTACTTTTCGTTTTAATTGTATTTTAAAAGATTTTTGTCAAAATTTATTATTTTTTTAAAATAATAATTAAGTAATTTATCATATTACAATACCTCAATTTTTCTTATTTTCATCGTCATTACGATTTAATCCTTTATAAAAGCATATGATCTTTATATAAGTTTTATTTTACTCAAATTTATTATTAAAATATTTTAACATGTTTACAGTTTCACTTCAATATCCAAATTTTTAATATTAATTATTTAAGAGTGGTTTAATATTCTTATAAATATATTTATTATATTTCAGATTATGATAACATCGTCGAGACGTTCAGTCACGTCAGTGGAAGCAGCATCTGAGCAATTAGAAGACAGAGAAATATTCAATGAATTAATTCAACCAATGCTATTGACAATGGCACTTTTGGGCCTTCATCCCATATATATGAAATTTAACAAACTATATCGTTTATGGAAGTTTTTTGTCGGTCAATTCATTTCTGCAAAGTATTATTTATCATACGTTAACTTTTTACTTTATTTTCTGAATTTCAATGAAACGAACATGTATACAAGTATGACTCTAATTTTAGAATTTGTAACATGTTATTGTTCGTATAAATCTTATACAATTTTTGAAAAATATATTACAAAATTAACGAAACGATTAAACGAAATTGGAAGGAAATTTAATACAGAAAACGAAACAATGAAGAAGATTAAAAAATGGACCACCATAAGAGTCTATATTGGTTGGATTTATATAAGTTCTCATATATTTATTACACTTATAAAAAATATATTAAATATGGATCATATTTTTAAATTTTATTATTCGATTTATTTATTTTATATCATTTGGCCTAATTATATTCAGTATATTTTAATTTTAGAAAGAATATCATTCATACTTGTTGTAACTGCACCAATATATTTTTATATATTATTCCTGTGTATAATTAATAAATATATAGCTGGATTATTCGTAATTCATCAACAAGAATCTCTTAATAAATTAAAAAATCGTGATTCTTATGAAATGAAATCAATTTGTAAAACATATAAATATATTTGCGATTGTATTAATTCTATTAATGAAATTTTTGGAGATTTAATTATAAAATGGTTTTGTCTTATATTTACTATGTTTTTTCTTTCTGTACAAATTTTTTATTTTTCAAAAAATCGTAATTTTTACGTCATCGAGCATTTTTATATTCCATATTTCGTATTATGGTTTTGTATCATAGCTGTAATGTGCATCAATGCTGATAACGTCATACAAAGTAGTAAGGGTTTATTAAGATTACTTAATAATTATTTAGTTCATTTAAATTATTATGATAGAGAAATGTTTGATATTTGTGAATTGTTCATTGATTATATTATTTATAAGCATCCAGTAATGTTAGCTGGTGGTGTTATAGAAATTAATAAATATTCTTTAATAGTTATATATTATGTGATTAATGGATATTTGTATATTTGTTATAATTTTTATAAATCAAGAAGATAATATATCTTGATTCATGTATTAAGAAAATGATATTTTGATTCAAACAATAATGATTCATGAGAATAATACAAACAATATACATAAACAAATAATGTTCTATTTGAAATGTTTGCATGTATCATACATGAAGAGAATGATATTACTTTTGATCAAGTTCATATATATATATTAATGCAAAAATATTCAAAATGTTAATATTAAAATAATATTGCTGATGTCTATATATTGTTAAAAATTGAATTATACTTCTGTTAAAATAAAATGATTGATATAATGAGCATGTAATATAAATCCAAAGCAATCTAAATAATAATATTTATGTATTTTTGCTTTTAAAATATTATTCTTACGTTTATGTTATGAAGAAATTGCATAAAGTATGTACTTTAAAATTTTATTTTAAAAATGTTTTATTAGAATTTTCACAAATATATGTATACACATCCACATACTATAATTGTAATAAAAATAAATAACAATAATAATAATAAAAGAATGTTAAACAATTGGTGTTTTGAGAATATG